TTCAGACAGGTTCATAAAGGCTTCCGACTAGCCACTTCCTTTGCAACAATTACAACCATTTATGACTTGAAAAACAGCATGGAAAACATCAAAACAAACCCTTTGCATAGACATTCTTTCTCATGGCTTGCCTGCAGCTGTCTTGCAGTGAGGCAGGAAATGATGCTACCTGCTTTGACTATCTTTACATTTCATAATGCCTCGGAATAAGCTATTTTAAAGGGCTGTGTGGACTAGAATGTTTTATCAAAACAGTTTCCACTATGAATGATTTTTAATGTCTCAACTGTAAGATAGTTTTGAGTTTTAGCACTGATATTTTAGTTTTGCATTGTTAATTTGCTTTATTGGTATTAAACATTTATATTGTATTGCTTGAAGTCATTTTGAAGTTTATTCGAAATTGAAATTGTCAAGTAAAGTTAGGTAATGGGATTGTACCAGATTGCTGTGTGCAGTGATTTTGTAATTTCACTTTTTCCCCTTTGAGTCAACTGTGTTCTGATGAATCTGGACCTAATTCTGTGAAAATTCCATCTGAGCAGGGGAACAGAATAGGGTGATAATTACTTTACTCTGAAGCGACATGACCCATGAAGGGCTGCCACAAAGGCTTGTTCACGTTGTACCCTGACCGAAACTAAGAAGTGATACAGGAGAGAAAAAGAAATTACTTAGGCAGTTAGTGAGCGGAAGAGAGTCCTCGGTAAGGCTTCTCTTTAACAAAAAGCATCCCCCACATTATTTCTTTTCTGACAAAGAGAAGCCTGTACTATGAGCTATAGACATAAATAAGCTCGAAACTTGCATAGGAAAATGCCGGCAGTTGTACCAACAGAAAAGGGATACCTGGAAGCCAGGTATATTCAACACAGAGTTTCCCTCTTTCCTTTTCTTTGTCACCAAGTATGTCGTAACTAGCAGGCAACATGGCACAGGCTAGGTAGAGAGCCCATCTGCACGATAAAGGAGAAGGGTGGGATGGCCAGCGTCTTCCCCCACCTAGTGCAATTTCTAGTGCTCTGTGTTAATCAGAGCCCATCTCCTCAAGCTCATCTATAAAACTCTATGCATTTCTCCATGGAACCAGAAGACCCAGTCAGGAGCCCCTCTCTCTTTGCAGGAGAAAGAGTTTCTTTTCTCCCTTCTCTCGCCTACTGAACCTCTGCCCTTAAATTCTCTTCTCCTGTGTTCACATCTTCGATTTCCTTGGCCCCAGACAATGACCCTGCTTCAGAAGCATCTTTTATACGATCATGTATGTGAATGGTTCCTCCTTATTTGAGCAGTGCACACCCTATGCAACTCTATCTGGTGACCTTCACAACACTTCCATTTCTGGCCTTTTCTGATTATGCTTTTGTTATTTCTTTCCTTTGAAAGCCCTCATGCATCAAATACAGACATGTTTACTGAGAACCTGCCTTGCAATTGTCACTTTGTCGGGATCTAGTGACAGAGCCTTGAACATAATATTATCTCAAACTTCAAAGATTTCCGGTCTGCTGCAAGAGGCAGACTAGTAAACAGAAACTTTCTGTCAATAATTGGCAAAGAAATGATACACTGGGAGCTAAACGTACGGTACCAAGAAGTAATAGCAAACAGATTCCTCATCCCTGAGCTGTGAGACAGGCCCCACGGACATTTCAAAAGCAATTAACGATCACCAGTGAGGGGACTCAGCCTTGCTGAAGATAAGTCAGGGTGGGGCAATGGAGGACTGGAAAGGAGGGCATATTTGGACAGAGCTGGGCTTCAGGTTTCAGCTCACCTCCAGCAGGAAGCACGGGGAGCCAGCCCCTAAGCCCAGGGCAGTGAGAGCAGCTAGGTCCAACAGCACTTGCAGGCCGGTCACGTGTCCCATGCAGTGAGGCAGGCACAGAGGACAGGTGGCCGGCTGACACTGAGAAGGCTAGAAAGAGCAAGGGATGGCTGAACAGAGGGCTGCACCCTGGGGGAGCAGGAAAGAGAACGTGTGCCTCTGTTGTAGGCTAAAGTTGTGTGACTCTTGGAACCCATTCTGGACCCCACTATAGATATGAAAATACCCACCTGGGGATGCTTAGAAGGAAGTCCTGCCCAAGAGGACAGCATGCCTGGGTCAAAAGACACCAACTATTTTGGTGGGGGCAGAAGCTGAGGAGGCTAGAAGTAGGTCATAGAGGAAATAAATTTATTTGTCTCTTTAACAAATAAATCGCATTTTACCAAGAAAACACAATTTATATGATTTATACAAATTGCAGATTACAATTTACCTGTTCCAAGAAAATTTGGCTGGATAGCCAAGAAGGGGCAGAGCTTCAGGACAGATAATCTAGGTAAGAATAATCCAGGCTGAGTGTGGTGGCTCATGCCTGTAATCCTAGCACTTTGTGAGGCCGAGGTGGGCAGATCACCTGAGGTCAGGAGTTCGAGACCAGCCTGGCCAACGTGGGGAAACCCCAACTCTACTAAAAATACAATAATTAGCCAGTGTGCTGGCACATGCCTGTAATCCCAACTACTCGGCAGGCTGAGGCAGGAGAATGGCTTGAACCCATGGGGTGGATGAGCTGAGATTGTGCCACTGAACTCTAGCCTGGGTGAAAGAGTGAAACTCTGTCTCAAAGAAAAAAAAAAAAGAAAAGAAAAAAGCAGCATCCAAACTAAGAGAGATGACCTGCAGTATGAAGAATGGCCACTGCAGCACACATCCGAGGAGGACTTAGGAATAAACATCACTCTGCATTCAACCTTAAGAATCCCCTCTTCCAGGAAGGTTTCCAGGGGCTCCCCATCCTCTTCCTTCTATTTCCTGCACTTTGAGTGTGAAATAGTTTATCTATTAAAATTAACCATTGAATTTTAATATTTAATATACTTCATTTAATCTAAAACACCAACTATAAATTACAATATTATTTTTATGAACTATAAAGAATTAATACTGTCAATTCTCATTCAGATAACTTTCAAGCATAAGATGATTTTCAATTTCTATGATCTTAAGGTGTAACAAAACATGAATTTTAAAATGATTAAAATATGTTGTTACTTTGTTATGTTTATTTGATTTCTCTGTCCAGCAAATCTATGAGTTACTTGAGAAGAGGCACCATGTTTTACGTTTCTGTAAATGTATAGAATAGGGGGTAAACTCATGGATAACAGATTATTTGAACTATAAGCCAGACCACTTGAAAGGCATATCGAATGTTTTAACATGTCATGAGGAACTCTCACCATTTTAATATGAAAATACAAACTTGTAAAAAGAAAACCCAAAAGAGAAAAATAATGGCATGGATATTTGCTTTCAAAACATCAAAGTTGAGCAATTATAAACATACAGATTCAAATAACCTAATAAGCCTTGTTATAGCAACAATTTCCCGTGGTATTAGTCATGGTTCTCTAGAGAAGCAGAACCAGTAGGGTGTGTGTGTGTGTGTGTGTGTGTGTGTGTGTGTGTGTGTATACAATCTGCCCTCTGCAAGCTGGGGACTCAAGAAAGCTGGGGGTATAGTTTGAATCCCTGAGAGCCTGAAGCCTTTTGAATAGATTGGAGTCTGAGTCTGGAGGTCTGGGACCAGGGGCATAGAAGGGCAGAAGATTAATGCCCCACCTTAAGCATCAGGCACAGTTAATTCAATTTTCCTCTGCCTTTTTTCCAGTGTATGCCTCCCATGGACTGGACCATTTCCACCTACCATGAGGAGGACGTCTACTTAGTTTACCAATTCACATTCTTGTTTCTTCTAGAAACACCCTCTCAGACACATGAAGAAAAATGCTTAACCAATGCATTCGTCCATTCTCTCACTGCTTTATGAAATACCTGAGACTGGGTTATTTATAAAGGAAAGTGGTTTGATTGGCTCGCAGTCCCACAGGCCATACAGAAAGCATGGTGGCTTCTGGGGAGACCTCCAGAAACTTTCAATCATGGCGCAAGGCCAAGGGGAAGCAGCACATTGTACATGACAAGCTCAGGGGGAAGAGCGAGACTGGGGAGGTGCCACACACTTTTAAACCACCAAATCTTGTGAGAAGACACTCAGTACACAGTACCAATGGGGGATGGTGCTAAACCGTTCACGAAAAGTCCATCCCTATGATCCAATCACCTCCCACCAAGTCCTGCCTCCCACATTGGGGTTAGTAATTTAACATGAGATTTGGGTGGAGACACAGATCCAGACCGAATCAACCCGTTATCTGGGCATCTCATGGCCCAACCAAGTTGACACATAGAAACAACCATCACGCTCACATTTCTCTACTCAGAGGGAACCATTTTCTGCTCCTTTAAGCTATTTTGTTTTTAAAATGATTTCTATATCTTAATATATTTTGATTATATCCCTAGGTCTTCATCTCTTCTTTAATATTTTCTTCTCTTTGCATAGTCTCTAATTCCTAATCAGGGGATCCTTTTACCTCTCCAATTCCAGTGATTTCTGTAGACCTCAATCCTCTTTGCAGTACTAGCTTAGGAACTATGTTAAAAACTCTCGGCCAGGCGCGGTGGCTCAAGCCTGTAATCCAGCACTTTGGGAGGCCGAGGTGGGTGGATCACGAGGTCAACAGATCGAGACCATCCTGGTCAACATGATGAAACCCCGTCTCTACTAAAAATACAAAAGGGCACGGTGGAGCGTGCCTGTAATCCCAGCTGCTCAGGAGGCTGAGGCAGGAGAATTGCCTGAACCCAGGGGGCGGAGGTTGTGGTGAGCCGAGATCGTGCCATTGCACTCCAGCCTGGGTAACAAGAGCGAAATTCCGTCTCAAAAAAAAAAAAAAAAAAAAAAAGACTCTCTCACTCACCTAGTGGAAAATGACACATCTGCCAAATGATGGGTTTTTGGTATGTTTTACAAGTTTTACACTAATAAGCTCAACATGTGTTAGGCACGTTGAAAAGAAACATTAAAGGGAAAGTTTCTTCCCCTCCTTCTTTCCTCTCCTTCGCAGTGTTTGGTCTAAAGGAAAGAGAAGAAAAGAGAAAGATGTCATGTGTGTCGCTCACATAAAGAGACCAACCGTGCAGTCTTTGTGTGGGCAACAAGGCCGTTTATTTCCCTCTTGGGTGCAAGCGGACCAAGTCCAAGAAAGGAGTTAGGCAAAGGGGATAGGAGAGGGGATTGGTTCTGTAGGTTGGGGCACGTGGTCAGCTAAATGCAGTAATCTATCTGGGGTGGGGGAGGGCGTCACGGGATGGGTGATCACAAGGTAGGGGTCATCTATTACAAACAGGTATGATCACAAAGGTGGGGAGTATGGGCTGCAGTCAGACGGGAGGGTGCAGTCGATTACGTGGTTACAGAGGCAGGGGTCTTCAGAAACCCAATGCCTGGGGGGAAGTCTTCATAAGGTTGAACAGAAATAATGGTGACAGGTTGCAGAGCAATAAGTTGAGGCAGGAACAAGTTGTTTCACTTCTTTCTGTGGCCACCTGGTTACTTCAGACTTTCTGGCTCCTGGGGACTATCCATAGGTGTATGTGTGGGTCACCAAGGCTAAAATGGCCAGGCTCGGAATTGGAGGCCTAACGAAAGAGAGAACAATAAGGGAACATGGTACTCTAAATATGGTGAATTCACCCTCGTGGATGGCAAGCCAGCCATCTTTTTAAATTATAATCCTCTATTTGCACTTTCTAAAGACACGCATTGTTTCACTCCAACAACTTTACTCTTTTGCTAAAGCTAGAACCTCACTTCTATTCTCCTAAAGGCTGCCTTTTATACTTTCTTAGAAACAAGTTTCATCTTAGATTTACAGTGGTTGCTATCTTGTTCCCTGAAAAATGGGGGTTAAGGAAGAAAAAACAGAGGACTGAGCTCAGAAAATCTCACACATAAAGATGAATTGCTGCCACTCTGGGGACTTGGGTGCAGCATGAGATGAGTAATCCGCAGACGGCAGAGGGAACTGGAGCTGGCAGTGTTTCAACATGCGAACATCTGGGCATTTGCAGATAGTCTTGCCCTGGTATGGTAAATTGGGAGCAACCATCTGGATGTTTGGCTAAAATTTTCGTTTCTTTAGATGGATTTTTAAGACTGCTATATAAAACCTTCCAGCATTTCTCTTCATTCTTCTAGTTTTTAGTAGCAGCAGCGCATGTTACGATAAATTCCACAATATTTAAACAATTGTGATAGTGGGCCTCTCTTTATCCCATAACTGCCTATAGCTTGTGATTTACACAAGTCTTTCTTAGATTTAAACTTTGATATGTTCCTGTCCCCCAGACTGAATTTTCTTTTGAGGTTTCCATGCAGTTAATACTGTTCTCGTTCTTAAAAACGTGTCTGGGATTCACCTTGCCGATGGGTGCCTCCACCACAGAGAATCTTTTGGGAAGACGCCAATTCCTCTCCGTTGCTTCTGTTCCTAGGTGCTTTTCATTTTTTTTTTATATGTTTTAATTTGTGAAGTTGCTCTGGAATGCTTTACACCCTTAATGCCATCAGCACCTCTAAGGAGATTCTAAACACACCTTTCTCTAAACTGTAGGGATGCTATGGTGACCCCAATGCTACGTTGGGTGGAGTCCAGGCCAAAATAATCCCACCAGCACAAACTATGGGTTTAAGTCTCTTAGCACACTGGGTTTACTTGCAGGCCCTGTATGGAGGTTTGCCTCTTTGACCCACAAAGCCTACCTTCAGGAGGCAAGGAATGTTTTCCTTTTGGTGTTGGCTGCCTCACGCTCGGTCTTATTTGTGACTTCCTGAGCAGGATGAAATGCACGGGTGAGTCCAGTGAAATGTCTTTCTACACTACAGCCTCCGACAAGGTGAATGGAAAAGAGAGAGGGTGTATTAGTCTGTTTTCACGCTGCTGATAAAGACGTTCCTGAGACTGGGTAATTTATAAAGTAAAAGAGGTTTAGTGAATTCACAGTTCCATGTGGCTGGGGAGGCCTCATGATCGCGATGGAAGGAGAAAGACACTTCTGACATGGCTGTGGCAAGAGAGAATCAGACAGGCATGCAAAAGGGGTTATCCCCTTATAAAACCATCAGATCTCGTGAGACGTTTTCACTAACTATCCTGAGAACAGTGTGAGGGAAATCACCCCCATGTTTCACTGATTTCCCACCAAGTCCTCCCACAACAAATGGGAATTATGGGAGCTATAATTCAAGATGAGATTTGGGGTGGGAACACAGCCAAACCATATCAGAGGGAGAGAGAGAGACAGATGGAGAGAGGGAGAGGGAAAGGGAAAGAGACGGGGGTGGGGGGGGAGAGAGAGAGAGAGAGAGAGAGAGAGAGAGAGAGAGAGAGAGAGAGAGAGAGAGAGAGAGAGAGAAACCACTGACCCAGGTTCTGTAATTATTAAAAGAGCAAAACTTTTGCTTTTGACAGATGATACTAGAAAATAGCATACACATGGTTCCGATTATATGACCAAAGCTCATGCCTTTTTAAGCATTAAACCCCCTTTCCATCCTTGTAAATGGGGATAGGACCAAAAAGCAATTTAAGCAGAGTAAAGCAAGTATGTGAGCATGTAGATGTGTGCCTCTGTGTGCGTGTGCTCTGTGTGTGCACGTGTGTGCCTCTCTGTGTACAAGTGCATTGCTTGTGTGTGTGCATGGGCACTGTGTGTGTGCCTCTGGGTGTGCCTGTGTCCGCTTCTGTGTGAACATGTGTGTGTCTGTGTGTCCCTGTGCATGTGCCTGTGTGTTTATGTGTATGTGTGTGGGTGGGTGTTGCTGACAGCCATTGCTGAGAACTCTGGACCTTGGTGACTTTGCTGTGCTCTGTGTCGTACCCAGCGGTGGTCTCTGTGTCTGCTTTCCTCGATTTCCTTTTCTCTCGTGAAGTGGTCTCATATAAACAAGTGCCTTGAGTGCTTCTCTTTGATGTCTATGTGTTTCCACATTCATTCTACCACCTGTCATCACTTCTCACTGCTCTCAGCAGACCCCAAATCATCACTGTTTCCAGGAAACCCTAGGTCAGGAATAGACCTCAGCATATTGTGAATTCTGTCCTCTGACTTAGAAAAGAATGAAGAGAAAACATTATCCAGAGATTCATAACACAGGGTCCACGGATGTCTTTAGGATATGGGTAAAATCATATAAAATCATAAATCATATGAGAAGTGTGTGTGTGTGTGTGTGTGTGTGTGTGTGTGATCATGTTAATTTAATGAACCTAGTGAGGTTAAATAAGAAAGAGTAAAGTTGTTTATTTTATCTCAACAAAAGCACCCCTAAGCCATGCTAGGCCTTTGTACTGAAAGAGGAAGTTGCGTCCCTGGGTGGCCACAGCCTGTGGCACCTGTTGTACAAAGCTGAAGACTTCCTTTCCACCAACGGACGGGGTGGTGGGCAGGACAGGCTGGATTTCTACATCAATCCTCTCCCTTGTGTAGTCAGTCATTGTACACCCTGAACAACTTTCACTACAAGCCCCATTTCTCACTGAAGGCACAGGCCATAGAGACCTTGCTGATAAAACAGCTAGCATTAAAGAAGCTGGCTGGTAGTCACCAAAACAGAGATGGCAACAAGAGTGACCTCTGGTCATCCTCCCTGCTACGCTCTCCCTGGCACCATGACAGTTTGCAAATTCCATGACAATGTCAGAAAGTTACCCTATGCAGTCTAAAAAGGGGAGGCATGAATAATCCACCTCTTGTTTGGAAATCATCAAAAAATAACCGTAAAAATGGGCACTGTGTCTATGGAGTGGCCATCCTTTTATTCCTTTAGTTTCTTAATAAACTTGCTTTCACCTTACCCTGTGAATTTGTCCTGAATCCTTTCTTGTGCGAGATCCAGGAACCCTCTCTTGGGGTCTGGATCTGGACCCCTTTCCAGTAACACTAAGAACCTGCTCATCTCTAGGCAGGTCCTGGCCAGGTGTTCCCGAGGATCCTGCCAGGAAGAGAGGACTGCTCCTTGGCTTTGTTACTGGCCTTGGGACATTGTCAGAATGGAGATATTTTGACATCCTATTGTATGTGAACATATAGAGGCGAGAATCGGCAACATTTATTTATGTCATCAACCGGGGCATGACTTCCAAAAGATCAGAGCCCTTTGCATTGGCAAATGCACCCTATCTCATTCATTTGTGATAATTCACAGGAAAACACACACCTCTCTGCCCATCATCTGTCCTATTTTTTCCCGTCTCATTCTCAGAACTCTGAAGAAAAAGCTACCCAGTTAGGATGACTGCGATGGCCCACAAGTGAATGACAGGCCATGAGGTTGCTATAAAGGACACTTTTATTACAAAGCCAATGCCATGCTTGTGTGTGAGACTGGAGATGTATAGCAGCGAACTCGTTCCGGGTTCAAATCAGCAATCATTACATTAGCTTTACACATTTTGAGATATTAAAACACAGGTCATGTATAGAGAGTAACATTAAATTTGCCAAATTTATAGTTGGACGAATTACTTCGATCCCTCCAAAAAGAAAAAGAAAATCCTGCTGGCATTATGTTTCTTAAGTGATTTTGTTTTTGAGACGGAATCTTGCTCTGTCTGTCACCCAGGCTGGAGGGCAGTGGCATTATCTCCGCTCACCGCAACCTCCACCTACCGGGTTCAAGTGATTCTCCTGCCTCACCCTCCCAAGTAGCTGGGATTACAGGTATGAGCCATTTTGCCTGGCTAATTTTTGTATTTTTAGTAGAGACAGTGTTTTGCCATGTTGGCCAGGCTGGTTTCAAACTCCTGACTTCAAACGATCCACCTGCCTTGGCCTCCCGAAGTGCTAGGATTACAGGCTTGAGTCACTATGCCAAGCCTGATATTTATTTTTATTCTTCAGGCGATTATAATGGACCTTTCCCTTAATCTGAAGTGAGAATATGCTAAAAAATATAGATATTATGTTTATTGTATTGAACTAACTACTTAGTTTTAAAGCAGGATGACGCTTTGGAAAAAGAATATCCGTATTCTTTTCTTAGATTAACTAAGTTCTTGACACAAATATTCTACCAATTCTATCTTCCTGCATACTACTCTACTAAGAATTTTGGTAGGTTAGTTCTTGATCTTCAGAAAGTCATAGGATATTTGTATGTTTATATATATAATTTATAAATACATTATGTGTTTATATATACAGATGCACACTTGCAAATATATATTATAAATGTAAAATACATATAATACGTACTTAGAATAATTTCTATTATTTGAATATTATTAATGTGCTAATTTTTAATAATATAATAATAATTGAGCAACGATTAAATACCAGGCACTGTGCTAATTGTTTAATATGCATTATTGTATTTATTCATCCAGTAATTATTAAAATAGATGTATAACACCTATTATTATTATTTAATCAGTGTAGTTATTGCACATGTTTTTTTTTTTTATTTTTTTACCCAGGCTGGAGTGCAATGGCGTGATCTGGCTCACCGCAGCCTCCACCTCCTGGGTTCAGGCAATTCTCCTGCTTCAGCCTCCTGAGTAGCTGGGATTACAGGCATGTGCCACCATGCCCAGCTAATTTTTTGTATTTTTAGTAGAGACGGGGTTTCACCATATTGACTAGGATGGTTTCAATCTCTTGACCTCGTGATCCACCTGCCTCAGCCTCCCAAAGTGCAGGGATTACAGGCTTGAGCCACCGCACCTGGCTCTGTACATGTATTTTGATAACTATTAGACTGAATAAATTAGATAGTCTATACCGGGATGGATAGAATACCCACAAGCACAGAAAAGTTCATGCACAGAAGCCTAGATTATTGTTACACCTATTTTACAAATGAGAAGAGGAGAAAAGTTGATTTGTCTGAGGTCACACACAGCTAGTATGCACAGCTGTGAGAATGAAATCCAGTCCTCTCTGACTCCAAAGCTATGCTCCTCACCAAGGCAGAAAGAATTAGAACAGTCTATCCCCCAGAGCAGGAACTGTGGGCAGATGCCAGGAGGGCCACCTGGGGTGGGATCTGTCATTCAAGAAGAATCTTGAAGATGACTCACAGCATTGTCTGCCAGGGAGACTGTGTCCCCAGAAGGATGGAAAAAAGACAGCCAGCGGCCATAAACCAACCTTAAAACACACACATAGGACCTGACAGCAGAATCTGCAGTGCACCATGAGTCACTGTGTGTTAGGTGGTATAATTAAATGTTGCCAGTGCAAGTACATACACATACATTTATATATTTAAAGTATTAATTTAGAGGATGTAAGTATTTGAAATACATGACAGTTTCTGTAATCTTATATTAGCATTCCACCACTGAAAAAAGAAAAGAAACAGCTTGTCAGGTCAAGAAATAGAATCATCTGAGCCTTCACTCACCTCTGATGGCCTGATCCATGAGTAAGTCACTGACGCTGGGATGAAAATTGCATGGAAATGATGGGGACGTTGGCACTGGGAAAGTGGAGTGAAATTGGACATGATCAGCATTTGTTCGTCCAAATGCAATTCCAGATGTGTAACCACCTACAAGCACAGGAGAGTCCATGCACAGAAGCCCAGAACCCCAGCAGCCTCATCTTTTCTTGAGCAATACCTTTTTTACCCATGATAAGATGAAGAAGGAACCCTCCTCCCCCACCAACCCCTCCATCAGGCAGAGAATGCTGGAGAAGAAAGGTGCGCCTCTGCCTGCACAGGTCAGTGAGTGGCAGCCAACATGGAGAGGTCACTGGACAGGCAGAGTGGCCATGCCCCTACCCCCAGTTCGGCAGACCCTACCCAAATATGCCACACTCAAGGGGCAGATGGAGGTGGAGCCACCCAGTCCTATGGCTTGGAGATGCTCACCGGGCACTTGCCCAGGGAGGGAGCTTGAGATAACCCTCAGACTTTATAGACAGTGCTGATCTCAGTCACACAGCCTTTCCCTTGAGCCATGTGATACCTTTCACTTCAGGAAACAAAACATTTAGTGTGCTCCATTTTAATGAGAGAGGGTGCTGTGCCTTCTATTTGGATGCTATTTCAAAATAAATAAAATATAATTGGCCACGGCAGCCTAGACAGATAGTTCAAAGATTGGCTGCTGAATGATGATATTGTTTTTATGTGTTTTTCAAAGGATAGTATTTTTCAGGTCTAAAGGATTAATTGGTCAGAGTATACACCTTAGCTTCTGAACATAAAACACTGTTTGATGTAGTGATTGAAGCGTTCAAACAATTTCTCTCAAAACTCTGTAGATCTCAATTCCTTTTCAGTGTTTCTCTAAACAAGATGTTAAAAGGCAATGTTCTATTTTCTAAGGTGGAATATTAGTTGTAGTGTCAGATATTTTCTAAATGAAATGTTTGTTACATTCTCTGAGGCTTAAGCAAATGTTTTTTTCTTTGATACTTTGAAGATGCTTTCACTTCCCTTCAAAGATATTCAGTGTCCCTGCATAGAATGACAGGTGTCACTTTCTCCGGCATAAGACACGTTCCCACGTGATGTCTTACCACGTTGCCTCCTGAGTAAGTTAGAAAGAAGGGATGGAAGTCAATGCATCCCATTTATTCTCAAGACACACCCAAAAAGTATGAACTCATGTATTTCACAGAGCTTCCAATTTACCTGCCTGTAATTACAAAATAAGTGTGTGCTTTCTCCCCAAACATTTATGTTTTTAAAATTACATGCCAATAACCACCACTGAGCATAAGTTGATGTGTTTGCTGAATGAAGCAATGTGAATTATCCTGGTACTTTCCTTTGACTTCGTCACACATTTCAGTTACTTCTGTAAACACTGACCACCCCCTCTAAAATACCTTTAGTTCTTTTCCCCTAACAAATGTGCTGCCAAATAATGTCTTACTAGAAAATAATGCACATAAATTAGCATGATCAAAATCCTATAATTATAGAAAATATATTTCCTTTGTATTCAAGCAAACCTTTCTGTGGACAGAAACAAGCACCTTGTCACATTTCAAGTAAACACGAATTATGAAAAGCAAATTATTTGAAAGGAGGCAATACAAAAGTGGATGCTGGACTTCCACACTAGAGTGACAGATTTGATACGGAACTTTCTTTTAAAGTCTTAAGCTTTCAGTGCTCCCACTGGCAAATGATGTGTTAGACCTAGGAATGTAAAATGTAACGAAACAGATTATATGTACTGGAAACATTAGTACCCATTAGATCTGATAACCGTGAGTCTAAATGTGAAACCTCTGCTTTATGAATTATCGCAGATAGTATTGTAGATAATGTCTTCATGCTCTCTTGCCAAAAAAACTCCTTATTGAAGGAAGCCCCGAGAATGATTAAAATGGAATTTAGGGCAGTGGTTATGTCAAGGGAAAGCAAGGGAGAAGAAAATTGGAGAACTGCACCCAGGAGACGTCAGCAGTATTCATAATGTTTTATTTCCAAACTCTACCTTGGGTGCATGGCCATTTGTTATATTATTCTTCATATCTGTGACAACATGTTATGTACAGATTCTTTCAGGACTCAGAAAATGACAGAAGGCAAGTTCTCCCCCTTTCCAAAGTGAGGTGCTAACCACGGGTAATCCAGCACATCTTGAGGATATCAAAGGATTGAAATGGAAGAGTCTTGAAAATTGGACATTAAAAAGGCATTAATTTCAAGAGCATTTTCTCTGTACTGTAATTTCCCCTCCAGTATGAGATTGTAGTGGAAAGATGCTCCTCTCCACTTGTCCAGGTGTGAGATGAATTTTGTTCAGTTTGATGTCACTCAGAAATAGATCCTGAGATGAGATTTCAAGTTCTCAGGGTTTATGTAGATGATCCCAGAAAGCACTAGGAGAGAAGTGGGAAAGTGATACAGGAAAGAGAAGCAGCAAAGGATGTGTTATCCAACGGATGTCAACTGGAGTAGAATGTCCCTAGGATGAGCGAGTTCCTGCGTTCTCATCTTGGGCAGAACAAAGGTAAGAGGACAACCTGGGTCTTTAGACATGTGAGATGGGAGAGACATGACATCTGAAATGCAGATACTGAAGAAACCAGGGAAACATAAATCCATCATGATTTTGTGAATAACCTAGGGAGGGCAATGGACTTCCCAGTCCCTTTGCGGGGGGAAATGTACACTTTTTTCTTTTAATGCCAAATGACTGTATGAGCACAGGTACCATTCGAGTTGAATATCCACTGTCATTTTTGTTAAACATTATGAAATTTACCTAGAACACTGCAGACTCCACATGAGTAGGGTGAGATCTGTACTTCTCTTAGTTTTCTTCCTAGTTTCTTGCACATGCCTGGCTGGAGGGACAGAGCAAGAAAATGATGTTACTAAAGCCCAGATTTGGCCAGGTGTGGTGGCTCATGCTTGTTATCCCAGCACTTTGGGAGGCCTAGGTGGGTGGATCACTTGAGATAAGGAGTTCAAGACCAGCCTGGCCAACATGGTGAAACCTGTCTCTAATAAAAATACAAAAGTTAGCTGGGTGTGGTGGTGGGTGCCTATAATCCTAGCTACTCAAGAGACTAAGGCAGAGTAACTTGAATCTGGGAGGTGGAGGTTGCAGTGAGCCAAGATCGCACCACCCGCACTCCAGCCTGGGAGACAGAGCAGCACTCCATCTCAAAATAAAGTAAAATAAAATAAAACCCAGATTCACCCAGTGGGAGCTGGAGCCTGGGGAGACTTGGCCAGTGCTGAAAATCTAGCCCAGGGCATGGAGCAAAGCGAAGAAACTCTCTGGTCTCTTTCTTCCTCCCGCCTCCCAATCTCCCAGCAGTGCCTTTCATTGGCTAAATTGAGCCTGATGACGGCTGGCAAGGAGTCATGGGCACTGCAGTGTTTCCTGGAATCCTGGGCACATGTGGGGAAGGGCTGGAGAAAGATCTGATCTGCAGGTGACCTTCCTGCACGCCCTGGGAACCATATGTGTGAGAGAGCTTGTAGGGAAAGGAAGCAGGCAGGTGCCCCCAATGACTGCAGTTTGGGAGATGGCCCCAGGGCACCATTCTCCAGGAGGCAGGATGTCACAACCTTAGCTAGAGCAGGATCCCCCAAAATTTAGACCCTTTCTTATGTGGGAGAAGATTAAACTGTTTTTGCATAAAGACAAGCCTTATTGTCACAGGAAAATACGTTTTTTAAAAAGTTTACATGATTAAAATTCTCATGTTAGTGATAACTGTTTTTAATTTTAAATACGCTGATTGACACGACTTTTAAAATGATCTTCAAATATAGGAGGTTTGTGTCACTGCTATCTAAGAATTATGCAAATTTTGAAAGAAAAGAAAACATTGCCTCTGCAGAGCTCCAGTATATAACTAGTAGAAAAAGATTATTTTCATTTTTATTATAAAGGCAATGGTTTGAGCTAAAATGGGCTCCAGAATTTCCTTCTAAATCCTCCACACCACTTTATCTTTGGATCAACTCTTTATAGAGTTACATCACCTCGATTGAAATTTTCTTTGAATGAAAAGCAAGAAACTCCTATAATATGATGGGGCTGAACCAAGACATGTGGGTGTAATAGGACAGGCTGACATTTGGCAATTCTTGTATCATTTATTTCTTTTTAAATATTACTCACCTTTATTTAGAGAAGAAGGTGAGAATTCTAGGTGAGGAGAGAAGACGAGAAAATAATCGTTAGCAATACGTTTATTCGCTCTGAACAAGTCAGCTCTGTCCTTGAGTTTGAGTTCTCACTCCGAACCAACAAGAGCCAACCCAGAGGTTAACTAGAAACCTTATTCTTGGTAGGTCTGACTGGAGACATACATATTGTGTACATATTCGTATATATATTTAAGTATTTATGTATAATACAGTGATGCACAAAACAAGCATTATAGATTTTTTCTCTTTGTTTTGTTTTTGCCTTTTATGAATATCATTTTTATTTTCTCTTTGTTTTAATATATTTTAAACGATAATAACTACATTATTGTAGTTTCATTTTCATTTTGTATAAATGAGTTGATATATTAAAAAATAAAACGGCATCTCAAAAAATTTCGCCTATACCATTATATTTTGAAATTCCTAGAATGCATCATTTTAAACAGTATCAACAGTGCTCAAAGTAGTTTCAGAGGCTTGTTTTCCAGCCAATACCTGTGAATTTTTTGCTTGTTGTTCATCCTGCTGAATATACAAGAGCTTACTGCCAAGGAAGCTGCCAGCCTTAGCTGTCCTAGAAATCCCTCTGTTCACTTTATTTTTAAAAAGGTGAGCAACTCACAGTCATAGAAATCCCAATCAAGACCCCCACATCGCTAAGGCAATGGAGAACAATTGATGACTTGAAGCACCGTTGCCTGTCTTAGTTTAAAATGCCCTTTCCCACCTCTTGTCACAGTAAAGAAAGAATGGGCTGTGCCACCTGGATTGGAACTGACGTGTGTGTGGCCGAAGACTAACCCCAACACAGGAACAAATCCAGTGTTCCTGGTGGAGAGGGATAAAGCCATCTTACTTGAAATAAGAATAAGGATCTTCGTATTTGTTTTGTTTTTTTTTGTTTTTGTTTTTGTTTTTGAGACGGAGCTTTGCTCTTGTTACCCAGGCTGGAGTGCAATGGCGCGATCTCGGCTCACCGCAACCTCCGCCTCCGGGGTTCAGGCAATTCTCCTGCCTCAGCCTCCCGAGTAGCTGGGATTACAGGCACGCACCACCGTGCCCAGCTAATTTTTTGTATTTTTAGTAGAGACGGGGTTTCACCATGTTGACCAGGATGGTCTCGATCTCTTGACCTCGTGATCCACCCACCTCGGCCTCCCAAAGTGCTGGGATTATAGGCGTGAGCCACTGCGCCCGGCCTGTTTTTTATTTCTTACTATGACCCCCACTTATATGACATTACTTTGTACGTTATAATGGTTTTTTTTTTTCTTTTTTTTTTGAGACCGGGCTTCTCTATGTTGGTCAGGCTGGCCTTGAACTCCTGACCTCAAGTGATCTGCCTGCCTCAGCCTCCCAAAGTGCTGGGATTACAGTGGTTCATGCTTGTATTCCCAGCCCTGTGGGAGGCCAAGGCAGGAGGATCACTTGAGCCCAGGAGTTCAAGACCATCCTGGGCAACATGGTGAAACCCCCATCTATTTTATTTTATTTATTTATTTATTTATTTATTTATTTATTTATTGAGACGGAGTCTTGCTCTGTTGCCAGGCTGAAGTGCAGTGGCATGATCTTGGCTGACTGCAACCTCTGACTCCCTGGTTCAAGCTATTTTCCTGCCTCAGCCTCCTGAGTAGCTGGGACTACAGGCACGCGCCACCGTGCCCAGCTAATTTTTTGTATTTTTAGTAGAGATGGGGTTTCACCATGTTGACCAGGATGGTCTCCATCTCTGGACCTCGTGATCCACCCGCCTTGGCCTGGATCTTTGTGTTTTTGTGCAACCTCTATTGTTCCTGGACCAAACTGAGGGTCAGGCTGCTACTTCTCATGGCCCAGTAAGGGGATGCAGATGAACTGAGAAGGAAGAGTTTTTATTTCTGTAACTGGTTCCAGGGAGAAGTCTTGGAAAATATCATCAGATCAGCTCAAAATTACAAAGTTTCCCAGAGCTTATATGTGTCCTGAGCTATATGTCTATGTGTAGGTGTGCACTCAGCTAAAGACATACGTAATTAACTTCTTTCAATCTATAACTAAGATCTGAGCCTTGAAGACCTTCCTCTGGAGCCTCCGTAAATTTACTTAACGTGAATGGGTCCAGGTGCTGGGGTGATCACCCTTATCTTGTCTCCTGCTAAGTCATAGAGGTTTGGGGAGTTCCTTTAGTCCCCAATAAAGCTTGTTTGTGGAGGCTTGGGGAGTTTCTTCAGACCCCCAATAAAACTTGTTTAATCCTAAACATGTCCTGTTAAGAATTCCTTCATTATTGGCCCAGGCGCAGTTGCTCAAGCCTGTAATCCCAGCACTTTGGGAGACCGAGGCGGGTGGATCATGAGGTCAAGAGATCGAGACCATCCTGGTCAACATGGTGAAACCCCGTCTCTACTAAAAATACAAAAAATTAGCTGGGCATGGTGGCGCGTGCCTGTAATCCCAGCTACTCGAAAGGCTGAGGCAGGAGAATTGCCTGAACCCGGGAGGCGGAGGTTGCGGTGAGCCAAGATTGCACCATTGCACTCCAGCCTGGGTAGCAAGAGCGAAACTCCGTCTCAAAAAAAAAAAAAAAGAATTTCTTCATTATCTTGTCATGCTTCAAGGCCCAGGAAAGGCCTAGGCAAAACTCTTATGTTCCAACCTTTGTATAAGGACACTGGCTCTTTTAACTTTTAATATTTAACTTACGCACTCAGTCAGTGCTCAAACAGTTGTGATGGAGGCCTGCGTTAGTCAGGCCTGGCCTGCCACACTGTCACCTGGACCTTGATATAGATGCTTCCAACGCTCTAGACCTTAATTTCCCCAGATTCAAGAAGAAAACAACAATGCTACCTGTCTGCCCTGGAGGCCAGGCGGAGACGAGGGAAAGACGCAGGAGTATTTTCCAGGAATATTGTTTGGTCCTGAGTCCTCTGCTAGCAATTCAGTGTTTCAGCTTCCTTTGCCCATGAGACTGAGATCCTGCTTTTCACAGTTAATTTATGTCTAAAGGCTTCCAAAACTCTCCCATGTTTCATCCACCCCAAATAATTAGCCACCACTGGGCAATCTGTGTTCTGATTCTGATGACGTTACCAATATGCTCTGCAATTTGGACTTTGGACTTCCAGCCTTTGCAAGTTTATCAGCAGTGAACTGACACGTGTCCTGCATGGCATGATTCCCACTTAGATGACTGAGCTCCTAGAAACATTTGGCATCCGTTAGGAAATGGACAAGTAGGGGCACCCCAGAAAAGCACTGTACATATTACACATGTAAAGTTGTAATATGTTATCAGGGAGCATCTTCTCTTGTCTCTCCTACAAATACCCATCCTAAATATTGCCATTCTACCTGTCCTTACTCATGGAAGACTAATCATTCATAGCACCCTTCCACCGCCCCTCGTCTACTTTCAATACTGGGACATGCTTACTATCTAGAAAAATAAATACATCTTTCAAACCACAGTTTTCTCTTCTGTATACTTGAGTAATAATACCTACTCAAGTTGTTGTGAAGGTAAAATGAGATGACACATGAGACGCACATCATCAGAGGGCTAGACACATAAAACTGGTTCCGTAAAGGGTAGCTGTTATTACTCTACTTCAAACTTCTTGAGGTATGGAATGGCATTTGTTTTTTTTCTGGTTTGTTTGGGTCTTACTACCGATGTCTTAGTCAAGGTATAGATTTAAACAAGTTAAGTATGCAGTTTACCAAAGACAGTTTAATGGCTGTCTCTGTCAGGCATCAGAAGCCCAGACACTTGCGGTTTTGTTGCTCAGCCATGCCTAGGGGGATATGGTGATGTCACTGGTTCAAAATGGCTCTCCCCGATGTCCAGTTACTGCAGGAGGGAGGGGACATGGGGTAGGGTAGGCCCTGACCCTTCCTTTGCAATGCATAGCACAGATAATGCACAATTCAATTGGGGTGCGCAAGTGAACACCATTTAGTCACATGACCACATCTAATTGCAAGGTATCCAGAAAAATAGCCTTTGTTCTAGTCATCTGGTTTCAAACACATGTTCTATTATCAAAGAAGAAGAAGAAGAAGAAGAAGCTGAAGGAATATTTGGGAAGAATTAGCTATCCCTATCACAACCATACAATAATGCCAAACACAGTGACACAGGTCAAGAGACACATGGTGAACACATTATTATTATTTTAGTTTTTGAACACTGATATGTGATACTTGCAGATATTCTTTTATTTGAAATATTTCCATTTCATTAATTAAACATTATCCAGGGTCAATGTTTTCTTTTAATTGCTAAATTCACAGTGTCGAAAAATTCGTTCCAAAATATTTTCATCACCTGGCTGGGCATGGTGATTCACACCTGTAACCCCAGCACTTTGGGAGGCCAAGGTGGGTGGATCACCTGAGGTCAGGAGTTCGAGACCAGCTTGGCCAACATGGTGAAACCCTGTCTTTATTGAAAATATAAAAATTAGCTGGGAATGGTGATGCCTTCCTGTAATCCCAAATACTTGGGAGGCTGAGGCAGGAGAATTGCTTGAACCTGGGAGGCAAAGGTTGCAGTGAGTTGAGATAGTGCCACTGCATTCCAGGCTGGAGGACAGAACAAGACTCTGTCTCAAAAAATAAAATCATCACCCAGAAGGAAATTCTGTTAACAGCCACTCCCCAACAAGCAGCTACTCCCTAATAACCTCTCTCCATGGCCCCTGACAATTAGGAATCTGCTTTTTTCTCTGCAAATCTATCTATCCTGGATGTTTCATGTAAATAAAATTATAAAATATGTGACAATTGGTGTCTGAATTATGCATCTTAGCATAAAAATATATTTTAAAGCAAAGAAAAAATTGTTACTACCTAATGAGACAAATAACACAATTAAAAAGTGGGAAAAGAATTGAACAGATATTTCTGCAAACAAAATGGCCAAGGAGCACAGCAAAGAATGTTCAACAACTTTAGTCCTTAGGGAAATGCAAACCAAGACCAATGACTATTAGGATAAAGTGAATCATTGTGCTTAAAAGTTTGATTTAGAAATACAGGTAAATAATGACCCTTTGTTTCTGGATACTGTATCATGATTGCTTGGGCAGAGTTAAGAGATGGCTCTCCAAGACATGGTCCAGTAGAATGCAAAGAGTTTGGAAATGAGGTAATAGGGTTTGATTGTGTAAAAACTCCTTTGCCTTACCCAGTCATTTCCACACACTCTCAATGTGGCTACCACTAGGCTATATTCTCCCACTCAAAACTGATTCCATTTAAGAAACCAGCTAAGTACAACTCATCCCAATTATTGAAAAAGCTTTTTTCAAACTGCAAAATTGCAAGCACGGAGGAAATCAAACATGAAAGATGATGCATCACAGAACAAAAGGAGCAGCTGCAAATGTTCTAAGCCCTGGCTCCCATGTGACTTTCCTGTCAACTCTGCTTTCTTAAATGGCCACAAAAGCTACTTCATGGGGAAAAATCTATTTTCTGCAAATACGTTCATGCTTCTATGTGATTCGTATTACTTTTTACTTTCATTATCAATGCAATGCCTGTTTTGTCCATGTTACTAATAGTTATGTCTCTAAATTAAGAAAAATGAGTTTGAACATAAGAGATAATATCCAATGCAATATAGCACCATTTAAATGAGCATGAAATTCTTGTAAACAAAAATTTCTGTCACCAGGTAACTGAGTTGTTCATCTATCACCCACATGTGATGCAGCCTCTCTTTATGCCTATTGTGTCAGCTAATTATTTATAACACTCTCTTGTCACTCTTAGAAATGCCCTCAAGTGGATAATACATTATTTTACCATTCTAATTAGAAGCTTCTTTCAGGTCCTTTACTTTAAAAAAACTTTTTTTTAATTTAATTTTTTTTTTAGAGATGAAATCTTGCTCTGTTGCCCCAGCTGGAGTGCAGTGATGCCATCTTGGCTCACTGCAACCTCCATCTCCTGGGTTTTAGCAATTCTCCTGCCCCAGCCTTATGAGTAGCTGGCATTACAGGTGCATGCCACCATGCCTGGCTAATTTTTTATATTTTAATAGAGATGGGGTTTCACTGTGTTACCCAGGCTGGTCTCAAACTCCTGAGCTCAGGCAATCCACCCATCTCGGCCTCCCAAAGTGCTAGGATTACAGGCATGAGCCACCACACCCAGAAGGTCCTTTACTTTCTTGGTGTATTAATAAATCACTTAATTTAAGATGCTTTTCAGAGTCCTGTTGGCTGAAAATGATAAGGAGTGCATCCCCTAGCCACATGTCTATGTGCCCCTGGATTTGTGCTTGGGTGTAGAAGGTAGATGGGGTGAGGCTGGGATGGTGGTATAGGGAGACAGCACCCACTTGGTCTGTTATTCACACATGGGACTAAGTGCTCAGGTGACTTCAGGCTGGCCAGACTACTGTGCCTAGGGTCCTGGAAACACACACCACATGTTTATATCTGTGTCAATGTTCATGTATAGAGTTTTCCATTTTTCTTAAAGGAAACAAACAATAGCAAAAAAGATGAATATTGTAGTTATTTAAAAACTGAATATGCTATTTGCTACCCACGCAAAATGATGTATACCTTCGAGGATTCAGTGTTGAGATTCTCCTACCCGCTTAGCCACAAGAAGAAGGAAATCTCCTGGATATTACAGTTGAAACCTGTTTAGAGAGTTAAACTGCGTCCTGAAAGCCCAGGGTCTCCTTTGTCCACCAGTTCTTAAGGCAGAGGAAGCCCTTATAAGAGTTAAAGAAAGAGGAAAGAAACAGGGAACATGACCTGGCAGTTAAAGATAAGTTTGCTTTAGATAATACCTGAGAGAGGCTTCTGGCTGGGTTTTTTTTTTTGTTTTTGTTTTTTTGGTCAGGAGTACTTTCTCTTACAGACTAAGAGTATATATTGGTTTTAGGATGAGGAGCTTACTACAAGCTTGGAATGTTCCTGTGTGAGGGAGAAGTTTTATGGTGGGGTAGGAAGGTCTCTGGGAGGAGGGGAGTTTATCTTGAGGGGGACAACTTTCTGGCAGGACAGGGGTTACTTTGGGGCTGGTCTTTTCCTGGCCAGAGGGGGTTTCTCTTGGGGCTAGCATATTTTCAGTTAGGGAGGAGTTTGGAATCTTTCTGGTCAGAGATATTTTGTGATTTATGGTCATGTTGACCTTAGCCATTAGGCTTATGCCCTTTGGGTTTTGGAAGTTTTTTTTATTAAGGTGAACTTTAGAATGAGGAGCTTGTCCAGCGTGGTGATGAGTCTGCAGAGACCCCAGAGGAAACTTAATTTCAGTACCTGTCTCTGTTGCCTCTGAGACCAGAATGCCCCACTTTGAGTACCACTTCCCTTTAGGCCTCTTAAGATTCACAGAGTCTGTGTTCCATGCCTGGTGCTCATGGGAGGTGGAGGACTCAACATTGCTGATGTTCTGGAGGGCCAACCACAGAGGAACATGAGTGACAAGGGAAAGAACAGCATCTGAAAGTGGACCAGTCCATGTGCTCTGATTTGTGTCCTTTCCTCCTCATTCCAGAGGCCTCTTAGAAAGAACCACACATATCCCGAGGCTCCCAGCATAAAACCCTTTGGTGTTCTCCGTCACCTTCACTCTGCATGCCAGTCCTGCCCACCTCTCCAGCCACATGCCCACCCTCTGCCCCTCATCCCTCACCTGGCACGCTGGCCTTTCTCCTCTTCCTTAAACACATCAAGCTTTTACGTAACTCATAACCCCCGACATGCCTTTCTCTCCCTTTTAAAAAAAAATAGATATTTTATTACGTTTAAGGTTTTGGGGTACATGTAAAGAACATTCAAGATTCTATACATGGCAATGTAATACAGGAGCACCCAGATACATAAAGCAAGTTCTTAATGATTTACAAAGAGACTTAGACTCCTGCACAATAATAATGGGAAACTTTAACACTCCACTGTCAATATTAGACAGATCAATGAGACAGAAAATTAACAAGGATATCCAGGACTTGAACTCAGACCTGGACCAAGCAAATGTCATAGACATTTACATAACTCTCCACCCCAAATCCATATAGAATAAACATTCTCCTCAGCACCACACCACGCCTACTCTAAAATTGATCACGTAATTGGAAGTAAATCACTCCTCAGCAAATGCAAAAAATGGAATTCATAGCAAACAGTCTCTCAGACCACAGTGCAATCAAGGTAGAACTCAGAATTCAGAAACTAACTCAGAACCACACAGCTTCATGGAAACTGAACAACTGGCTCTTGAATGTTGACTGGACATGCCCTTCTTTTTGCTTGGAGAACCCTTCAATCCTCTGTCCTGTCTAACTTCTTTCGCTGAGCTAAACTGTATTCATCTTCCTGGTCTCAGATTAAGTGTCCCTTCCTTAGGGACCCCACCTTGACCATTCCTATCCTAAAAGGTGATTGAGTTGGATGGGAGAGCACAGAGGATGTTGAGGTCAGTGGAGCTACTGTGTGTGACACTATCATGCTATATACATGGCACTCTACAGTCTTCCCAACCCAGAATGTACAACGCCAAGAGTGAACCCTCATATATAAATTGTGAACTTCGGGTGACAGTGATGTCTTACTACAGGCTCACTCATTGTAACAAGTGTCCCATTCTGGTGTGGATGTTGGTAGTGAGGGAGGCTGTGCATGTGGTGGGGCAGGGCGTATTAACGAAATCTCTGTACCTTCATCTAAATTTTGCTGTGAACCTAAAACTGCAGTAAAAAAATTTTTTCTATTACAATGAAATGTAAAGTCAAACCACCAAGAGCAAAGAAACAAGCAGACAACAACAGCAAAAAAAGGGGTCCAGCGTGCTGTTACTTGTTTTCATTTTTGTCAGGGTCGGAATGCTTGGTCATCAAACTACCCAGTGCTGGGCACAGAGTAGAAACCCATGGAGCTAGGCTTCAAAAGTGGCCACAAATTTTTATCCTCACTTAAGTCACTTACCTTTGCAAATGATTTTCCCTTTCCTTCTAACCAAAGGGGGAATCTATTCATTCACATCTCCAACCTCAAGTTGGAACTGAGAATTGCTTTAATCAATAGTAAGTTAGGAAGTGTCACTTAAGTGGGGTCAAAAAAGTGCTTCCCTTTTAGAACCTGCCCTCTCTTGCTGCTCTTGGGAAGCCTGCAATGGTCACCCCTGAGCAGGCTTGAGCTAGCCTGTTGGGTGATAAACACATTTTCTGTGATCCCCTATCCCTTCTGCCTGGAGCCAGCACCCACTGCCTGACACATAACCACACTGCTGAACCCCCAGTGACCGGAAACACATGAGTGAACACATCTCAGTGGAAGCTAGACCAAATTCCCAACCTACAGAATTGTGAGCAATCAAATAATTCTATTTAAAGCTACTTTGTTTGCACACAGTCTATTATGCAGGAAAACCCAACTGACATACATAATAAATATTTGTGGAATGAATGAATGAATGAATAATGGTCTCCATACTTACAAAAAACTAGACATCTGTGTCTGTGTATTTAATTTTACACGTATAAGGCAACATAGATATTATACATATGCATTCCCTTCTGGTAAAAATTAAGGAAGTACAACTCTATTAAATACTCAGTTTGTCAGTAGGTTTCTATGGATATTGCCTTACTAAAATTATTAGCATAGGCATTTCCAGTTGAAAAGAACCTGAAATATTTCCAACTCCAGCACCCAGAATTTAGTGGTGAAGAAGCTGAGGCCAAGAAATGATTGAGGATATACCTTAGGTCGTACAGTCATCGGCAATCACTGGGGCTTCAATGCAGAGCCTGGAACATGCAGTCAGCAAGATGCCAAGAGATGAGGAACAGGGTAACTTCCCAGAGTTCCACAGGATAAAAAGTCAGCACAACTCACTCTTGGGAAAACGCATTTCTGGGTGACTTCGGGAGGCCTTGAAGGAAGTCTGCAGATCAAAAGGGTGAATATGGTGTTGGTGGTGAGGGTAGTAATGGTGACTCTGTATGTTCATGCTCTTATGTTGAAACTTGTGGAAGACAGTGCAGAATGTGGCATTCTTCAGGAGAGAGGAAATGGGCACCCCTGCTGCTACAGGATTGCAGGCAAAGTCACTGATTCCATTTTCCTGTGTTCTTAACATCCTCTACAAAAGCAGACTTGATGCCGGGTGCAGAAGGATCAATATCATTGCAAGAGAAAAAAAAAGTATTAGGACAAGAAGAAAAACAAACGGTCACTAGAATGAGTTGATTTCGTAAGGTTTTCATATGGGTGCAATGTTATCAAGTCATGTAATATTTTGTTACCTTCTTTTATCTGCTTTTATCTCATTCTCTTTAGAAGTTCTACATTTGATCTCCACTTTCTTTCAGGAGAAGGAATTCTGATAACTCATGCCCTGAAAAATAAATTGCAGAAGCCTACAGTGTGAAATTTTAATTTATCCATGTGCATAATTTCCACAGGTTCTCTACTTAGGTATACATTCTGTTAATAATAAAGATTTTTCTTCTTTTTTCCCTCCTTGTTAGACTTTTACATTTCTTGTTTTTTTGTATATATAAAAAGCATAAGAGAATGTGGACCTGGAAAAGTCAAACTATACTCAAACATTGGCATGTTTGTTTATAAGTTATGATTTAAAAATAAAGGTAAAAACGTTTTACAAGAAACTAAAAATGTAATTAATATACATTGCAGCCAACTGCTCCCTCAATTCCCCTCTTTCCAGAAATAGAAAGGAGAGAATGGAAGAGAGAGAGTGAGAGATTTAAACTTTTCTTTTCAAAAAAGTTATCACAATTTTTTTAATAGGTGTTTTGGGAACAGGTCGTGTTTGGATACATAGATAAGTTCTCCAGTGATGATTTCTGAGATGTTAGTGCACCCACCACCCAAGCAGTGCACACTGGGTATATAGTCCTTTGTCTCTTACCCCCCACACTCTTTCTCCCAAGTCCCCAAAGTCCATTGTATAATTCTCACGCCTTTGCATCTTCACAGCCTAGCTCCCACTTATGCATGAGAGCACACGACATTGGTTTTCAATTCCTGAATTATTCCACTTAGAATAATGGTTTCCAATTCCATCCAGGTTGCTGCAAATGCCAATTATTTTACGGATTTAAAAAATTTCTAGAAGACAATTTCTTTGGGGTGGGGAGGTTGCTTTATATCCTTAGTTATTTAACAATTTACTGAAGACTCCTCACTCCAGCCTGCCTGGCCCACCTCTTGGCTAATCAGCATAAGGTCATCTTAAATTAGTCATCTGAGCTGGGTACAGTGGCTCATGCCTGTAACCCCAGCACTTTGGGAGGCCAAGGCAGGCAGACCACAAGGTCAGGAGATTGAGAGCATCCTGGCTAACACAGTGAAACCCCATCTCTATTAAAAACACAAAAATATTAGCCAGGTGTCATGGCACACACCTTTAGTCCCAGCTACTGGGGAGGCTGAGGCAGGAGAATCACTTGAACCTGGGAGGTGGAGGTTACAGTGAACTGAGATCCCACCACTGCACTCCAGCCTGGGTGACAGAGCAAGACTCCATCTCAAATATATATATATATATATATATATATATATATATATATATATATATATCCATCTGTAGGAGTCAGGAAGTATTGAGTCCTAAAATAACAATGTAGTGTCCAGATTGAAAGCAACTGGAGACTCCATTGGCTAATGGATTACTGGTTTCAATAGAAGAGTCAGACTTAGAAGATAAAGGAAAATTTTAGAGTGGCTTGGAAGGCTATATCAGAGAGAAAGAGCACCATAAAGAGCTATATGCTGAATATTGCTTTCCCTGGGACATGGCAGAGTGCAGGCACAAAAGGTGTAAACAGGTGGCCACAGAGGCATGCCATAATACAGAACATTGGCCTTAAACCCCATCAACAGTGAAGCAGAGAAACCTCGTCTGACTTATTCCTTCTGCATCTTATAGTTGGGCTGAAATTCTACATTTCTGTACCCAGCAAATGTTCTTTGAAATTAATTTTACATTTTAGTAAAATATAGGACAATGCCCTAAACTCCATCAGGAGTGAATCAGAGAAACTGTGTCTGACTCTTTGCTTTTGCATGTTATAGTTAGGCTAAAATTTTACATTTCTGTGTCTGGCAAATACTCTTTGAAATTAACTTCACATTTTTGAAATTTTGCTTATTTGTATCTGGCAAATATTCTTTGAAATTTTACATTTCTTAGAAACTAAAGACATTGCTGTTGCTGGAGAAAAGACTGTATAACTGCATTTTTAGCTTTATATTTATTTGAGAAATGCTACTAAAACATAAACTTTTTTTTTTTTTCTCTTGGTGGTAGGAAACGGGTGACTATATTAGGCTGTTCTTGTATTGCTATAAGGGAATACCTAAGGTCGGGTAATTTATAAAGCAAAGAGGTTTAATTGGCTCATGCTTCTGCAGGCTGTACCAGCATGGCACCAACATCTGTTCAGCTTCTGGGAGGCCTCAGGAAGCTTCCAATCACAGTGGAAGGTGAAGGAGGAGCAAGCACATTGTATGGTAAGAGCCGGAACATCCCGATTTAGGGCATATTTGTGGCAGAAATGCATGAATGAATATGATGATTATTTACTTATGAACCTAATCAGAGATTCAGGCATCAATCCTCTCAGGATGAATTCAGATGAACTTGGTTCAGAAGGAATAAATTGCAGGGCAAGTCCATTTGTGATGCACATGCATTATACACAGATGTTGTTTTCACTGTATTGTGACTGCCATATTACATGAATTTTGCATGGTTCTATTTTTAAGGATATAGTTGTTAAATCGCCAAATTCATAATTTTAGATGTTTTTCCAATTGGTTTTTGTTTTGAGACAGAATTTCCCTCTGTCACCCAGGCTGGAGTGCAGTAGTGTGATCTCTACTCATTGCAACCTCTGCCTCCCAGGTTCAAGTGATTCTCCTGCCTCAGTCTCCCTTGTAGCTGGGATTACAGGTGCCCACCACCATGCCTGACTAATTTTTGTATTTTTAGACATCACCATGTTGGCTAGGCTGGTCTCGAACCCCTGACCTCGAGTGCTTCAACTGCCTCAGCCTCCCAAAAGGCTGGAATTATAGGCATGAACCACAGAACCCAGATGTTTTCCAGTTCGAAATGACCACCTGAAACTTTTTGTAATGACCGTGAAATATGACTTGTCATTAAATGATCAGATTTTAAAAGACCTAGAAAACTCAAAAGAGGTAACAATGAAGTAACTATTTTTAACATGAAATAATTTCCTCCTCACCCATCTTGCTCAGATTTCCCAGGTGATCTTGAAAGAATCTGTGCTTTAGAAGCAAACTTTAACAAGGCTATTCCTATCATTTAACACCTAAAAAAACTACCTTTTGATTTTAATGAATTGATATATCCTTTTGATGCTCATTTCTAACAGAGACAAGGAGTTTCATTCTTCTGGCAAGACAAAATGAGGATAATTTACCTCTAGGAAAAATAGGGGTACAGTTTTAAAATGCACAAAAAGTAATTTTTTTTTTTGAGACAGGGTCTCACTCTGTCTCCCAGGTTAGACTGCAGTGGTGTGATCTCCACTCACTGTAGTCTCAACCTCCTGTGCTCAAGTGATCCTCCCACCTCAGCCTCCTCAGCAGCCTGAACTACAGGTGTGTGCCACCGCATCCAACTACTTTTTGTATTTTTGTAAAGATGGGGTTTTGCTCTGTTGCCCAGACTGGTCTCGAACTCCTGGGCCCAAGTGATTCACCCCACCTTAGCCTCTCAAAGTGCTAGGATTACAGATGTGAGCCATGGCATCTGGCCTAGCAATTATTCTTGACTGCAATGTACTTTTCGTTTTGAGGACGAAGTCAGTTTTGGACTTAATTGATGTTTATTTTAAAATGATATTTTTCTACTTTTTCTTTCTCACCTGAAGTGCCAGGAAACTAGAGCTGAAAAGTCTTCAAATCTATGGGCCTCCTGTGTTTTTCACTGTTTATTGTCTCTTCAACAGCACTCTCCCGCTTCCTTCTATGACCAGGACTCTGATTTGACCCCACTGCCCATGTTTCCAGGGAAGGAGATAAACGAAGTCAAACCTAAGCCAGTCACGACAAATGTGTCTCCTGTGTGATTGGTCGAGGCACAAGCACGTGACCTATTTATAGACGATAAGACCGGAGGGGAAGTCTTCAAGCACTGGAAATATTTTTCTCCTTAACACATAGAAAGTAGTCACACCCGGTAAAGACCTTTAGCAACGCTCACATTCCATCCTGCTCTGTGGGAAGCACAGGATGGTGCCTAAATCTGAGGCAGCCATCTAGGGACCATGAAAGACTAAGCCTTAAATAAGCTAGAGAAGGCAGGAGAGGATGGGAGAAGCCCTCCTGGAATTTCCAGGTCAACCCTGAGAGTGTCCACCATGGTAAGCAAAACAATGCCCTGTCAAAGATGCCTGAGTTCTAATTCCTAGCACTTCTAGACCACTCCCCCCTTATAATTGAACCTCTGCAGAATTGAAGGATCCATGGAGGAAAGATGAAAACCACGTTTATGTAGAAGACATAGTGAGTATACTAATGAAAACCACGTTTATGTAGAAGACATAGTGAGTATACTAAAATCACACAGCGGGCACTTAATAGTAGGATCTGAAAAATTAACTGCTGTGGGAAAATACTATAGTTTTAAAATCAGATTGATACTGTCTTGGTGCCATTAAAAAAATCAGAACAGAATTCTAAATCTGCAAATCTGCCAACTCTCTAAGTATTGTTTTATGATAGAGTATGGTATTTTTTTTATTTCATACTTTTATAACAATGGGTAAATACAGTTTCTGTAGTCTATATGTTAAATTATATGAATAGGCATGTGTATGTTGTATACGTTATAAATACATTTCCCATATATTATGTCATTGAATCTTTACAAAAACCTACTTTAGGTATCATGTTTCTTAGTTAATTTTAATGCCCAAATGCTTATTACCTAGAAAATGTCAGAAAACTTTTTCTGTAAAGAGCCAGAGAGCAAATATTTTGTGGTCTCTATTACAAATCCTCAACTCTGCTGTTGTAGCAACAAAGCAGACTAAAAAAAATATGTAAATCAGTGGGTGTGGCTATGTTCTAATAAAAACTAATTTATAAAAAAATAAGCAGCTCCCCTCGGCCACAGTTGACCAAACCCTGATCAAGGTAACTTATTCCACACTCATTTGTGTATGGTGATCTTGTATGTATGGTGATCTTGTATTCTGCCACCTTGCTGAACTCACTTACTAGTTTTCACCTTTTTTGGTATGTTTCCCGGGATTTTCTACATAGACAAATACACACTGCTAAGTGAAAGTAACCAGACTCAAAAGGTCGAATACTGTGTGACTTCACTGCAAAAGGCAAAACTACGGGAACAGGAAATTGATCTGTCGCTGTCAGGAGCTGGAGTAGGGCATGGGGTAGATTACTGATGGGGATGAGGGAAGTTTTGGAGGGACGAAACTACCCCACGCTGCATGGAATTAGAAGACAGGAGCCTGCCCATCACAGAATGTCTATTTTGGCTACAGAAAGTCTATTTTTGTCTTTCCTCTTTCAGTATTTCTCAATGTTGACGTTTGTTCACCCTAAATACGTGTAGGATGCAGGCAGTTTAGCTCATTTTCACCATTGTCTCATGTTTTAAAATGCCTTTCTTGATTGGCCAAGTTTAAAATGGGGAGGTGCAGCAGTGCTGTTTGTGTTTGGTTCATTTTTAAATCTTTGAAGTAGAACCCTTCTAAAGCTCATGGGTGCTAAGCAGGCTGGCTCTGTCCTCCACCTTCACATGTCTATATTGTTTCTGTAAACTGAAGGTAAAATCCTAAACTCCCAAACTGACCAAGAGGCCTTGGCCAAGAGGACCGCAGAGAAATCTGAAAAACACAGTTCTGTATCAGGATGTGACGGAAAGTAGGACACTCTTTTCTATATCCTCTTTTGGAGTTTAGGCAAATCTGACCAGTGTTAATGTTAAAATAGAGATTGTATGACCTACAAAACAGACTGTCTGTGGCAATAAGATACCAAATTATAAACAAGACGTAAGGCCAGGCAAAGAAAGAGTTAAATCGTGCCTGCAGGCCACCAGTCTTGCTACACATCATCTTTATCATAGAATATTTCCACTTTGGGAGGCCAAGGTGGTGGATTGCTTGAGCCCAGGAGTTTGAGACCAGCCTCTATAAAAAACGACATCTCTATAAAAAATACAAAAATTAGCTTGGCGTAGTGGCACATGCCTGTAGTTCTTGCTACTCGGGAGGCTGAGGTGGGAGGATAACTTGAGCCCAGGAGGTCCAGGCTGCAATGAACTATGACTGTACCACTGTACTCCAGGCTGAGAGACAGCAAAACCTTGTCATAATGACAAAACAAGCAAACAACAACAACCAAAAATATCTTTTTTTTTCAGACCTCGCTTTCTAAACAGAGCCTTCCTCCTTTGATCCATAACAAATTGAAGACTCTCTGAATCCACCTATAACCTGTAACCACCCCCACTTTAAAGGATTCCACCTTTTTGGGGTGAACATATGTATATCATCCAGGTATTGATTTATGTCTTTTCCTATAACTCCTGCCTCATTGAAATGAAAAAATAGACGTTAAGTCAGGCAGGGCACGGTAGCTCATACCTGTAATCCCAGCACTTTGGGAGGCTTAGACGGGCAGATCACCTGAGGTAAAGAGTTTGATACCAGCCTGGCCAACATGGTGAAACCACTTACCTACTAAAAACACAAAAATTAGCCAAGGGTGGTGGCACGCGCCTGTAATCTCAGCTACGTGAATGGCTGAGGAAGAAACCTGCTTGAAGCTAGTAGGCAGAGGTTGCAGTGAGCTGAGATTGTGCCACCGCACTCCAGCCTGGGTGACAGAGCAAGACTGAGTCTCAAACAACAACAACAACCAACATGACTGCCTCCCTTGAGACTGTGGTTTCTGGGGCTGCGGTCACTCATACTGGCTCAGAATAAATCAGCTTAAAATATTTTACAGAGTTTGGTCTTTCTTTCTCTCTCTCTCTCTCTCTTTCTTTCCTTTTTTCTTCTTTCTCCTTCCTTCCTTTCTTTCTCTGTTTCTTTCTCCTTCTTTCTTTCTTTTTTCTTTCTTTCTTTCTTTTTCTTTCCTTCTTTCTTTCTCCCTTCCTTCCTTCCTCCCTCCCTCCCTCCCTCCCTCCCTCCCTCCCTCCCTCCCTTCCTTCCTTCCTTCCTTCCTTCCTTTTCTTTCTTCGACGGAGTCTTGCTCTCTTGCCCAGGATGGAGTGCATTGGTGCGATCTCAGCTTACTGCAATCTCCACCTCCTGGTTCAAGCAATTCCCCTGCCTCAACCTCCCAAGTAGCTGGGATTACAGGCACATGCCACCATGCCCGGCTAATTATTATTATTATTATTATTATTTGAGTAGAGACAGGGTTTCACTATGTTTGCCAGACTAGTCTCAAACTTTTGACCTCAGGCAATCAGCCCACCTAGGCCTCCCAAAGGGCTGGGATTGCAGGTGTGAGCCACCACGCCCGGCCGTGGTTTTTATTTAACATTTCATTCTCGGAGGACCCACAGGAACCTGTGTCAGTAATTCCCTGAAGCCCGTTCTGGAGTTTTATGGAATAACCCCTATTGGCTCCATGTAGAATGACCCAACAGCAACTAATAAAACATGAACACAGAGTCTTCTCTCCACCCAGGGTGCAGCCCCACACCTATCAAGGCTCCGCTTGGGGAACGAAGCCCAGTCAATAAGCAACAACCTTCTGTGTCAGTTTAGATGAATGACACGTGTCAGTCTCCTTCCACCTAGTTAAAACCAGAGAGTGATTTTCTCCTTTGGAGCAGTAGAAACAAAGGCAATTTTGAGCTACCGGAGTGTGAGATTTTGACTTCCTGTTAACACTGATCTCTTCCCAAGTTGCATCCCCATGCTCCTGTGAAGATGCTTAGATTGGTCTCTGAGAGGAACACACAGCAGGTCCTTCATGTCATTTTCACAGAGCAAATCGAGGGCACTGTTGTGAGTGGATGAGGTGGTGGCAGTGAGCTTTGCTCTCATTCCTGCATATGACTACAGAGGCTAGATGTATGCAGTTACCCTTTCTGGGATGTAAACTTCCTCAAGTATAATAAACTCAGAGTGATCTGACACAGGGTTATTAGAATTCTGATTAAGAAAATTTGTAAAGTGGAGAAACTTGGAAAACTGAACGTTTGAAACTAGATACGTTTGGATTTCATTGAATTTTCCTTTGCTCTTTCTTTTGGAGAAATTTAGATCTTTGAAACAAAGCAGAAGAAGAGAAAATGGCTGTCATGGAGATGCAAGAGTAAGAGAGAAGTTCAAAGTAAAGTGATTGGGAATGGATCAGTTTCTGCAGCACAATGGCAGGATTATCACTGAGAGAAGGCAGCGA